GATTTATCAGCACGTGAATAATTTGGAATACTTGTTGATCTCCTACTATACTAGTGTACTTAAAATATAGAATATGAAAGTCGTGGACAGTAGCTTAAATGTCAAACCAAATGTAAACTTATGGTTTACCCAATGTTTTATGTGGTTATGATTGAATATTGTTTCGTCTCTGTTCCTTTGATAATTTCCCATAACATATTCTTCCCGTGAAACTTCAGCGATACAAGTCTTTTCTTAAATAAAACTAGTTTATTCTTTCTCAATTCAACTTTGCAATACACCTAATTTCAACAGTCACTTTAACTTAAACACACGCTATAATTCACAACGAACTATTCACGCACTTTACTTACGTTGGTTATCGGTGTCTATAACTTCAATCTCCCTACCTGCTACTCCAGTTCCGAATGATCCTCTCCTTTGTCTGGCGCACTTATATACAATCAAAAATACTCATCACGTGTTACTAGCATCACTGACTTCCGCTGTCGTAACAATATTCTCAATCATTCAGATTGAAATATTTTTAAGCATATAGTTTCACCGAATGTTTTCTTGGCATTGTTTCTGTACAAGGTACAGACAAGATGCATGAAAATGCAGGCTGTGAGTGTACAGCTGAAGGCAGAAAGTAACACCGACGTGGTGGTGTAGTACTTAGTGGTTGCACCTAGTGATATAATCGTTAGTGGATTCCCTTGATCAGAAGTCGGAGGTTGGCTCTGGTGCAGTGGCTAATCCGTTTCGGCTATTTATGTAGGAATCAGTGTCCTCCATCTTGACCCCCATTTCTTTCCTACGGGACCTGAGCTCTGTTAGTACAACAACCAGACAGTAATGAAGGGAATGCATCTAGGTAATAGGAGAGTTGTTCTCCATTGCCATGACTGTATGTTGGTGAAGTGCAGGACCCAGTGAACCTGGTGGACAGTGATGTCTAAAGGTGCAAGGCAATATGCACGTCAGTACACGTAATGCTGTAAAAATGTCACTTGACCACTTCAGTACTCAAATAGCAAGTTTAGAAAAGATAATTGTTGTAACTTGGCATTTACAACATGTAAAACTAACATCTTTAGTTGAACTTCTGTGTGTAACTTGGCAGTTACAACATGTAAAGTTAACATCCTTGGTTGAACTTCTGTGTGTAACTTGGCAGTTACAACATGTAAAACTAACATCCTTTTGTTAGTTTTACATGTTGTAACTGCCAAGTTACACACAGAAGTTCAACTCCTTGGTTGAACTTCTGTGTGTAACTTGACAGTTACAACATGTAAAACTAACATCCTTGGTTGAACTTCTGTGTGTAACTTGGCAGTTACAACATGTAAAACTAACATCTTTGGTTGAACTTCTGTGTGTAACTTGACAGTTACAACAT